CCCTAACTTTACGCAGACTCCTCGGGTGCCGGCACCCGCTGAACGGTTTTTAGCGTCTGGTGAGTGGTACACTAGGTCAGGTAAGGTGGTGATGTGGGAACGGTATTGATTTTTGGCAACCTCTTGTAGTCAACGCGAGGAGCTCTGTCTCAGCTTTCCGACCTCTGGCTCATTAAGGGTTGTTTTCGTGGTTTCACGCCGACACCCTCTTTTTGGATCCAAGCTAGTCCGGCTGGAGCGGTAGTCTATCTTTCACAGTTCAATTGGCAAACCATTTTCACAGTCTTTAGACCAGGAGTTTTACTAAAGTTGCAGTTCAGCGGCCTCTTTTCGGCGCGTACAATCACCTACCTCGCGTACATAAGGTATTGCTTATTGGACTTTAAATTCCACCCTTGAAGTCATTCAGGCATCACTTTGATGCCCTGAATAAGAAGTGAAAGCGTCCATCGTTAGATAATTAAAAGATGGCCCTGTTCCCACTGTAGCTACCACGGAAAATACGCACTTTCCTAACTTTTCATTTTTGCGTCTATAGCGGCTTTGCAGTACCCCCAAGGGCACTCTTTGTTGGAGGTATTGTACCTTTTAGTTGCCTCCCCTACAGAGTAACTAGGCTTGTCCATTGAAATCTGGTTATTCTAAGCCAGTACTTTTGATTTTCCATTTTTAGTTCAACTAAGGTCGACAGAACGCACCACGGTGACCAGGCAGGAGACCCGCTACTACACATGCACTCTGTGCAGCAACGTCTTCACGAATTTGTCTATGCTGCGCAGACATCAGGCTTTTGACCATGGAGGTACAACTCCGCCTAAATGTATGCGCAATTGTTTTATCTCTTTTATGCCGCCACTGTTTACCTCTAAATCTTCGCTTCCCCGAGACCGCGATTAACATTTCATTTTATACCTTAGGAAATGCTGCGACGCCAAAAACACTGCTGACTGCACCTTGTCTGTCTATTAAAGTACCCTTTTAATTGACATTCTTGTTTGAGTTCCAACACGTCTGCGCTTAATCAGTTCAGTCCGCAGTATCTACTCAGCCATTTAGGACTGTACGTATGACATACACCGAAATTAACGACATAGATAGTTTGATTGATACGTAACTGGAAAAAAATATATTCAGATTACGTTACAAGACTGGATAGATTGGAATAAATGTTAGAATCTAATATGTGTAATCGCGTCCTTGTTACTATGGACCTGGCTACTTACGTGGTTTAGGTAGGCACGTAATACTTTTTTTAGAATCCGATCATTCTCCTCTAAATTATTTTACGTGCCGCTGTTTGGCCTCTAGGGCTGGAGTTTGCTTTAGAGCTAACGATTCGCTTAACATTTTCACTTTCTGCTTTTACTCCTTTCTTGGAGGTTGTGCTGCTTTGTAAACTGAATTAGTATATTCAAACACAAATTTCGCATTTACTATTCTTTCTATTTTTGCCTGTACTTTTCTTCCGTTCATAAAACCCTCGAATACCACCATTCCCTTATTGCAGGAGACCTAGTTTGTTAGCGAAATGGTTGTAAATATTACATAGATCCTTGCCGTGATAACGTTTAGAATGAGATTTTTCTCAAAACCCATGAAATACACCTGGAAAATCAGATATTCATCGCTTAAGTAGTAGTACTATGAGTGTAATCTAAGCATATAAGCGAGAAGACGTTCAACCAAAAGCTATTGTGTATGAAGGTACGTGAGACTAAATTTTATGCTAGTTACCCAATGCTTTGTGAATTTGAGTGCGGAATGTAGGTGTTTTTATACATTTTGATGCCAGTGTGCTATCTCTGTTTTTCCTCGTAGATACATATCCTCGAAAGAGTGTAAAGGCCATGATGGATACCGCACACGATCAACAAATCTTCCAAAACGCTGTCATGTATCCCCTTGAAATCATTGAGTTACCAGTCGACACAGACCCTGTGCTGGACGCTGTATAGTAAAACGCCAGTTGTGTGTATGCCAAAAGATGCTTCTCCCCAATGCACGCACGTATCTGCATTTGTAATTGATTTTATTTTTTATAATTACAATCATATCTTGCTACCTAAATGCTGGTCGTTTGATGGCTTTAATTTCCTTGTTATTTTGCTCAGACTTTCTACTCACCGACGAAAGATACGTAGGCTTGGCAGGAAGACCGCCGTGGACGCGTAAATCTGACAGGTTATGGGAAGCGCGCGATGGTTGTTCTCTTGAAAATTGTTTCGGACGCATTTTCTAGCGTACTCCCCACGAAGGGGGTAGTGTTTCTCAGTCGACTGTTGTCTCCACGGTGGTTTATGTCTTCTTTACAGTGACAAGACGACCCGACTTGGCCTGGGTTGCTTGCGGCGTCGAATTCTGTACTCACGCAAAGGAATGATGGTACCGGCTACTCAGCGGACTGCAGGGTATGAAGGCGAGCACACGCTGGGTTAGTTTTTTGGGTTTGGCCGGCCCATCAATGACGGTTGCCGTGGCATACTCGTTGGGCCGAAGACGGTTTCGTGGACCCAAAGACAAGGTCTGGGTGCCACGATAGTGAATTAAACCATCCACTAGGTTTGCTGATATGTTTGGGGACTGCCAGTGTTCTGCTTGGAATTGCTCGTTAACACCACGATCGTGCCTGTTTTAATCTGCATAGACGGTGTCGTGTAGTTTATCCGACTATGCATGACGGTTTAAAACAGAGCACCTCTGTCCGTGTATTGTTGTGCAACGTCCATTCAAGCGCATCGACGAACCGCCAATGACCGTACAGGGGACATGGATACCCCTTCACGAAACCCTATGCACCCCGATTTTAATTGGTTAGACTCGGGCTAATTACTGGTTTAGAATACGAGAGGGAAGAGGAGACGAGCTCGCGCAAACTCTCATAGCTATATTAAAAGTGGCGATCCCGGTACTGTTAATTTCATAGTGTGGAAGAGTGGAGAGGGAGAGAATAACTCGGCCCTGGAGTGCCGTCTAGGCCGCGGATGGTGCGTTGTCTAAGTGGGTGAGGACTTCTTGCATTTGGGGAACCAGCACGTGCGCTGCTCACTCAAAGAGGGACCTGGTACAATCAAATCTCATTCTCAGCTGTCCTGGTGTTACCCTGTCATATAAATATGAACATGTTAATTGCAAGGGGATTTGAATATTCTTAATCAATGCTTACTACAATTAAAATTATATTCAAGCCACAACTACTTCCTCAGATAGACGAAGTAGAATAAC